TTTTGCAAAATGGCTGCTGGAGAGCTTTGCCCAGTCACAAGCTGCCATGTGAAATACTATCCATCACAAAGTTTCGATTTGTAACTGGTTATGACCCTCCTAAAGTTCCTGCTTTTCTTTAGCTTTTTTTCTGGACAGATCAACAAATTTCTAAACAGGGTTGCAGCTGTTCATCAATTGAACTTTTCAGCTCACAGAATTTTTGTCCATAACAAAGATGTTAGGGACTAATGCTTTGCTTTGTAGCATGCCAATATCCATGCTTTTTTCAAACTAAAATGTTTTAAAATATAAATGTTCAGGTGGAATAAGGAGCCTGGAAGATCCATGACCTATTGGAATGACCAACAACACACTGAGTCCCCCAGCCTCAGACTTTTTTCAGGCTGTGCTGTACCAAAGTTATAAGAATAAGAGGAAGTCTTCTCTTTGAAACAGGAAATCGTCACATTGTGTTATAAAAAAGGCAATAGGTAGGTAAATAAAAATGACAACCTCTCGTTTCAAATGTAAATGTTGTGACCAACTAATTTGCATGATGCGTTTAGTGCAATGTCTAGTAGCTAACCAAAGTGCTTTGCAGCTTTCTCACCCATACTCTGATTGCCATAAAACCTGACACATATTGTGCATGAAAACTAGAACAAGATTCCTTTTGTTCAAGTTAGCTGCCCCCTCTTTAATTTTTTGCAGTGCTCACTAGTTTTCCATCCTACACTGTGTTTCCAGCAAGTTGGCATTTTCTGAATGTTTTCTGAATATTTCTAGATGAATGGCACCCTCCTCTTAGCCCTAACACAGAATGCTCATAGTCATCCATCAATCCACCCAAACTAATGGGTATCAAGTTGGACCACCTCTATGCTTACAATTGTTTATCTTATTTCTTCACTGCTGTTCTAAATAAAGCATTATACTCCAGCCTATTGTATGTTAAATACTGGCAAACCGGACAGTTCATAAACCTCTGCCAATGTTGATTCCAAAGACGATGGGATTTCTTTTTCTGGTATTTCCTAAAATGAATTCAGGTTCTCTTAGTGTAGAACGGAATAATGGTAAAATGTAACCACACCCATTTGCTTTTTGTACATGAAAGTATATCAGCATGTAATGGATCTCTGTGAAACCAAAGAGACACTGAGCCACACATACATATGGATGCTGCCAAGATGTGTTCTTTGATGATGGGATCGTAAAAGTACTATTTCCCTTAGGCAGAAGGTATTTGCTCAATGTGTACAAGGCTGGTTCACATTTTAGCATATGGGTGTGGCATTCCAGAGGGTTGCAAAACACCACTCCAGGTGAGCAGAAGCCACACTGGCAGACAGGCTTCCATCAGTATCTGCATTTAAAGGAACACATGCACACATTCAGAAACCTTTCCATATACATGCCAGTGAAATGGGAGACAATGTGGTGCTATGGGTTTGCAGTTGAACTGGGAATGCAAAGGTTCAGCTACCAATCCAGCCGTGAAGGTCAGTGGCTACTATTAGCACTCATGCTAAATGAGTTCAAAGAACAGTTGGGAGGAATGAATGAAAACCTACATGTCTTATTCAAGTTGCTTAACAAAAGAATCAAATAAATAAAAGGTCCATCCTGGCAATTAAAAGCAAAACTACTCTACAAGCTTTCAGATGTATGTTTTTCAAGCCATTGTGGTTCATGAGAAAATCAGTAGCAGGTGCAAGTAAGGAGGAATGAGTAGATATGCTACCACGGGCAGAGTTTGAATTCAAGGTTGGAAGTTCAAAATTCAGATTCACCCTCGCTTTTGGGAGCTTCTTGGATGACGATGGTCTCTTTCTGAATCTAATCCTTACTTATCTCACAGTATAGTTTTGAATATAAAAGTGGTGGCACAATACTATTAAGACCTTCTAGAGGAAAGGTGAGCTATAAATGCAACAAATAAATGAATGTAAAAGCCTCAGTGCAGGACATCATTATCAATGTCCAGCATGGTTATTACGTTAAAAAAGTTACGACCTTTTTCCAAAGAGCTGAAGATACTTTATATGGTTCTTTCATCATTCCAATGTTATCCTCCCAGTAGCCCTGTGAAATAAAGCAGGCTCAGAGAGAGTATTTGGTGGAAAGTCATTCTGTGTCTGGATTTGCATAGTGTCTTAAACAAAAAGTAGATTCTTTGTTTCGCTTATTGGACAAAGCCAACCCAGTCCTTTTATAGATAAACCATAGCTTGAGGTTTAGCATTACATTTGAACTCAGGTGTTATGGCTTAATCTGCAAACCATGGTTAAAACAAACCAGGTCTTAGTGTGATGTGTGAAATTTATGACTGAGTGGGGATTTGAACCTTAATCTCCCAACTGTTATTTGGTCTTATTTTTTCCTACAATATCATGCTGGCTTTTAGTGAAACTTATGAAGATTTTAATGCAGAATGTTCATTTCCAATATAAAGGACAGGTAAGGAAAGTCCTGTGTATCAGTGTGATAAGAGTTAAGCAGCAGGATAAGGATCAGTCTTCATATATTAGTCACATTTTTTTTTTTTTCATCTGCGCTCAGTCGTTACCGACTCTGCAGTGACTGCTTGGATGAGTCCTTGCAGTTTTCAGGGCAATTGTTTCAGAGGTGGTTTGCCGGAGCCACCTTCCTAGGGCAGAGCCCAGCTGGCGAGCGCAGGAGGCGGGGT